TAGGATTGAGCAAGATTCATCGTCTTACTAAAGAAGGATCAAACACACTAAGAGTGGACCTGGGAGACTTTGAGGGGAACACAACTTATGCTAACTACTCTACATTCAGTGTTAGTGATGGTAGTACTGAATATATACTAACAGTAGGAGGATACTCTGGTGCTGCTGGGGATGGATTGATTACTGATCCTATACATGGTCACATTACTAATCACAATGGAATGAAATTCACTACAAGAGATAATGATAATGATAAGGATGTTGGTCAGAATTGTGCCCATGGTGCCAATGGTGCCTGGTGGTACGATGCTTGCTATCAATCTCATCTCAATGGTCCTTATTATACTAATCCAACTGGAAATGGTAAGTGGAGAGGAACTATATGGTATGATTGGAAAGGAGATAGTTATAGTCTCAAGTTTACTGAGATGAAAACTTATCGTAACAATTAAACATAAATAATGTGTGTGTGACAGGATTGTGTAGAATCAGTTATTACTTAGTGTATTTAGATTATTTTTTTACTTTTACAAAAAAGTTATTTTACTTTTTTAATAAAGTTATGTTTAAATTCTTAGCCTATCATTTTATACAAGCTACCATACACTGCATTAATACATTAGGAGCAGGTGTCATCATGTTTGTGACAACAAAAATGTAAGGACTGCAATTACCAATGTTGGTTTATACAAAAATAAACAATAAACATATTTTTTAAGTTCCGGCAAGAACATGCCATAAAATATTCATAAATTGAGCCAGACACTCTAAATTTCATTTGAATGCTTACATTTTGTTAAAATAACAAACAGTTCAACTTGACAAGCATCAGTTAGATCTAATTACCATCTCACACATACATTTGTTCATTAACTGATGAACACTTAAGTAGTTTAAAATTTAAAGATCGAGAGAGATGTGTTGATGTTCAGTAAAAGTTACTAAAAGTCAACAAAATGTTGTTCAATCTTTATAGTCCACTAGTCATGGAGCTAGTGTCAGTGACTTTATTATAAAAGGAGAGAAATATCACTACAGTAACATCAACTGATAACCTATCACATTATCTTAATAAGTATATAATAAAGATACTATACTGAGATAATGTTAGCTGGTAAACTGATGTACAGTTTAATGATAATAATTGTTATTATTAATACTGTCAATGGAAACTGTCCTGATGATGAGCCTCCTCCTCCTCCTTCTCCTATTCCTGAAGTTCCCTATGTCATTTCTAGGAAATTTTACTCACCATCAAACACTTCAGTGAATGATGCACCAGGTATATTGACTAGGTCCATAACTATTTCTATTTTTACAGTAATATTATACATTATAATGATTATGTCAAGCCCTTTCTTTTATGTATAGTGTGTGCAATGGCACGTGATTGTAAAGAATGGTATGATTTGGGAGCTCAGACCAATGGAATATATACTGTTAAACCAGATGATGATGAACCTTTCCAGGTATACTATTGTATACTGTACTGCTATTATATTGAATTATTGTCCATTTACAGGTTTATTGTGAAGGTGGATGGGCAGTATTTCAGAGGAGACAAGATGGATCTGTTGATTTCTACAGGGGTTGGACTGACTATGAGAATGGATTTGGTGACCTTAGTGGTGAATTTTGGTTAGGATTGAGCAAGATTCATCGTCTTACTAAAGAAGGATCACACCAACTAGAAATTCATTTTGATGGTCAATTTGTGTATTATGATTCATTCAGTGTGAGTGATCATGCCACTGAATACACAATAAATCTCCAATACAGCAGTGGTTATGATTCAATGACTGGTAGACACTCTCTCAATGGAATGAAATTCAGTACAAAGGATAATGATAATGATTATCATCGTGATAATTGTGCTGTGCTTCATCATGGTGCCTGGTGGTATAACAGTTGCTCTGACTCTAATCTCAATGGTCTATACTCTGCAACTAATGAGACTGGAATATTTTGGTTGGACTACGCAAATCCAGGTTGGCCTATCACATATACAGGGATGAGATTTTATCGCTACAGTTAAATCATGGTAATTGGAATGGAATGGATCACTGGACTTGTGTGATGTGTGTGTCAATATAAACAATTATTACTAGCAATATTTTTACTAGTATATCGTTTGTTAGATTTTGTAGTGATTCTTATAAAGGTTTTTGTTATTTTTAGAAAAATCAATTGAGAAATAAAAATATTAATAGTACAATAATACGTGACAGGTCACAAAATACAAGCAATAACAATGAAGAAATGGTACCTGTAGTATACACACACACACTGACCACTGATATTAGTATAGTAAGGACAGATGCTATCATGCATTATTACTAATAAACTCATTGTGATTGAATTGCTTTTACTATGACATCATACTGTAGTTATTCATTGATATAATAAGTTGCATTAATCATAAGTTTTATTGCTCATAAAATGTGAAAAATTTTGCAATTTAATTAACAGAAAATTAAACTATAACACATCTTAATGTAATAAATGTATATAATTGAGATGGCTCTTTAGTATACTAAAGTTATAAGCCTTGAAATTAAAAAGTGAATAAATTTGCACTAAAAACAGTAGTCTTGAGTAACCAGACCCACCTTCATATTGACAGGTCAAAAAGGGAGATGCGAGACTATACAAACAGTACATGTTGACATGTGATATACAGTACATGCATGCTAGTACACAATACAGTGTTGTTAGAAATGTGCAAAATAAACAAAAACAATAAACTATGGTCACATGTGCTAATGTGCTTTCCCTCGCACTTCCTCTCTCATCTGCACTAACATGATAACATGCTTACATACACATTAGTCTACTATACTGTTTGTTTAATGCAAAATGTATTTATATACATCATAGTAATATTACTTTCATGATAGAAAAAGAAAATATTTTTATAATTCATTTGCCAATTTGTGATTACTGCAAAAGCATAAACAAATACACGCAGTCACTGCTTAAGATTATAAAAAGGAGAAAATCATTGGCAATTACCAAAACCTGTTACTCCACTTTTTCTTTTTATAAAGTATAAAAGATAAACTCCTATATTCAAGATGATGTTAGCTGGTAAACTGATGTACAGTTTAATGATAATAATTCTTATTATTAATACTGTCAATGGAAACTGTCCTGATGATGAGAAGGAGACAACTTCTCCAGTTGTTACCATCACTAACACTAGTGTTAATGCTACTGTACACCAGGTACTGTAATGGAAAGAAATAATATTGACACTATTAATGAACACTTGTTTATTATTTATAGAATGTGTAATGCCAACTGATTGTAAAGCATGGAAACAACTCGGAATTAAACAAAATGGAGTATATCCTATAAAACCAGATAATGGACCAGCTTTCCAAGTAATGTTTAATTGTATTATACTTTATAATTATACACTATTGGATCACAGGTATACTGTGATATGGAGACTGATGGTGGTGGATGGACTGTATTTCAGAGGAGACAAGATGGATCTGTTGATTTCTATAGATACTGGACTGACTATGAGAATGGATTTGGTGATCTTACTGGTGAGTTTTGGTTAGGATTGAGCAAGATTCATCGTCTTACTAAAGAAGGATCAAACACACTAAGAGTGGACCTGGGAGACTTTGAGGGGAACACAGCTTATGCTAACTACTCTACATTTAATGTTAGTGATGGTAGTACTGAATATATACTAACAGTAGGAAGATACTCTGGTACTGCTGGGGATGGCCTTATAGATTCAAATCTTGGTCATCCTTCTAAACACAATGGGATGAAATTCACTACAAGAGATAATGGTAATGACAATGATGGTGGGAAGTGTCCCCACAGACATCATGGTGCCTGGTGGTTTAATGCTTGCTTTCAATCTCATCTCAATGGTCGTTATTATACTAATCCAACTGGAGCTAATACATGGGATGGAATCATATG